TATATATATATATAATATTCTAGTATTATAACCAGTGTTTAGAAATACTTCAGCTTCTATAAAGATGAAGTGACGTTGACAAAAGTCTCGCTACAAGCAGGTTGTGTTCAACTAAACAGAACAAACGTGAACACAAAGACATGAAACATTATTCCACATCACCCGCCAGTGCAGCTGCTGACAGCAGACCTGGAACAGGTGAAGCTAATTCAAAGGTCCATTTCAGCTGTTTATAGGGTCTGTTTGTGACGCTTCACCCTGAGGAACCATAACAGAACATGATAATCAGCCTCACGACAACAGCATGAAACATTAAAAAAAAACCTGTTTGGCCAGCATTTACAGAAATACATCTTTACTGTTTTAAAAGCTCCGAGTGAACAATTCATCTAAATATCTGACTCCTGTAGATCTATGAGTCTTTGCTTCTACACGATAAGTTTCTTTTTAGATTTGGGTGCTTATTATTTGAGGGTTAGAACATGTATACGATACTCAGTGATAGAGTTTTTCTCCTGGCTCTTGTGTCTCTAGTACAGGGTTGGGCATAAACATATCGTGTGCAATTAATCGTCAGAAAAAGAATCAATTATTTTTGGCACTTGACGATTAATACGATTAATGCCACCAGGCAGAGTTCGCTCGCTGCTCCTCTCTTCAAATATGATGAACATCAAAAAAAGTTCTGTAATTTATTTATCTATCAACACAGTTTAAAATTTGAAGTCTGTAATTTTGACACAATCGGGAACAGATTTTTACAAAGAGCAAATCTTTCCCAGTAAATTGGTCATGTGACCAGGACACAAGGGTGTCCAGGGACTCCAGGGGATTAATCGTCAAATTAATCGTTATCGGCTAAATACCACAATTAAAGGCACAGTGTGTAGGATTTGTTGTTTTCAGACATCTAGTGGTTGAGTGGTTGAATCATCCTCCCTGGTCCTCCCCCCACCCCCACCCCCGCTTTCAAACACAAAGGAGTTGCTACGGTGTCTCTCAGGTGTCAAAAACCTTTAATTCCAACCGCGATGTCTACCAGCAGCTTCAGGACTAGTGATG